GATTAAATGATTTCAGTGGGTTTATGATTACAAGTAACCAGGATGCCCCTATCAAAATAGATGCTGGCGATGCCCGCGTAGTTTGTTTTGACGTATCTCCACGTTGTAGGGGTAATATACCATATTTTGATCGACTAGGGAAAATTCTCGATCATTTCGACGCGCCAGGAGTAGTTATGTCATATCTTCTTAGCCGTGATCTGTCAAAGTGGAGTCCACAGAATTTCCCTATCACTAAAATGAAAACAGATACAATAATGAAACAACTCCCAAACCCTATTCGCTTTATAATACAACATATTAAATCATGGTCCAAAAATCAAATCGAAAAACCAATCTGTGGAAATTTATATCAAGATTATCTTACTTGGTGTGGGAATGATGGCAAAGATCGAATCAGTAATAACAAATTTGGAGGTTTTCTTCCACCGATAGGAATCGAGAAAAAGCAAGTACGGATTAATGAAAAAAGAGAATGGGTATATATTCTTGATCGATCCAAAATAGTATCCAAATTACATGAGTCAATTGGTGATATCGAAGAATTTTTCGATGTTTTAGAAGATGATAATTCGTCAATTAATGATTCTACAGATATCCCAATATTTAATGTACCAGAAGAAGAAATCGAAGCGGAAAAAGAAATATCATCTCGACCAGAAAAAATAGCGAAGCTAGCACGGTTAGAATCAGCCCCTTCAGAACAATCCAATTCATCATGTGATATAAAAACCGTGACCGCTGGTCATGATCAAAAATCAGATCAAAACTCAGAAACAAATTGCGTCAACAATAATCAGGATAAACCGTTTGATAAACCTGTTTTAAATTCTTCCAAGAATATTGAAAACCCTAAACCTGTTAACGATAAATCCAAATCTAATAACGAAGAAGATACATCAAAGCCAATTCCATCATCTTCTAACTATTTGACCCGGGAACAGCGAGAAAAACGTCTCCGAAAATGGGCAATCAATCATAATGAAGATCCAGATGTCTTCATGACTATTACTGAAAAAGATATTAATTTATCTAGAACATACCGAGATAGAATGATGTCAGATGCCGATATGATTCAATTCGCAAAAGAGTCTGATGATGATCCAGATTCACTAATGGATATGACTAGGAGAGAAAGATTGATAAGTGAAGAAATATATTTACGTGAATGGGAGGAAGAAGGAATACAACGATCATATATTTTTGATGATGATGAATGGATAGAAAAAATATCGATACTTCAAGAAAATGGATACCTATGGTAAATTGTAAATCATTACTAAATGTATATCAATATAATAGAAGTAAATTTTGTTAATATAGTGCAAGACACCTAGTCCCACAACTTTTCATTGTCCTTGTAGATCCTTCTCTAACTCCAAAAATGGAAATGT